TTGGCGACAAAAACTTTTGTCTTTTCCCCTCCCTTTATTGTCAATAAAGACCTAGTGTGGACTAGGGATGTTAAGGACTAGTCAACTATTCAATAAGCAAATGCTTATCAGATAGTCAGTCAACTAGTCCATTCCCCCCCTTGCTGCCTCTATCAGATAGAGGCAGCAAAGGGTGGGGAGGAAACGGAGCCCTGGATCAGCTGTGTGGTACTGTCGCTTTGAAACGCAGAGTCCCCAGCTGATCCTGGGTTCTGCTGAAATGCCATGTGGAGCCCAGGATTAGCTGGGGAGTCTCCAGCTGACCCTGGCTCCGTGTGGCATTTCAAATCAGCAGCGCAGCATGGAGCCCAGGGTCAGTGGGGACTCTTGTACATTTCAAAGAAGGAATGCGGAAGTGCCTATTGACTAGTTGAGTAGTCGATGGAAATTCCATCCACTGCTCGACTAGTCAATTAACCCCAATTTAACAACCCTAGTGAGGACCCTGTTTGTTTTGTCGAGAGAACTAGCTTCCACCAGTATCCCACAATGCCTACCTTGATGGGTGTGCTCCATTATTTTGTGATCTCTGCTGCCTTGCAGGCAGGCAACCCTCATCTTCAAAGTTCCGGGAAGCAACTGACAGCTGAGTGAGCTGCTCCCTTTGGTGAGCAAACAAAAAGAGCAAATTACTGGAATGCACTTGTTCTGCTCCACTAAAAACACAGTAACAGACAGACTGCTGCTGCCGGGGGAGGGCTGGAGAGACTGCTGTGCTGCTTTGAAATGCCTCAGCACAGAGAACTCACAGAGTTACTCAGGATGCTGCTCCCAAAACTCTGAGAGAATCCCAAGAAGCACAGGGATCTGCTCTGCCTTCCCACAATACTGCACTGTGGGATGCTTACCCACATTGCTTTGCTCTATCTGTCCACAGGAGAGCTAGCAACAACGTGGCCATAAAATGTCAACAATGGGAGGCAGAAAAACTAGTCTGACCGGTTTTCACTTTTGCATGTCAACAGCACTTTTGCCACCAACTCTTCCCAGTGAAAAAAAAACTTAAAAAACAATAAATAGTCTAGCAGCACCTAGACATAGCCTGATGCAAGGTGGGTGAGACAAATGAAGCTGGTTCAATAAAAGATATTATCTCACCTTCCTTGTGTCTCAGACTCTTGACTCAGCTTCAGCACTGAATAGAACCATGGTCTTTCAATACCTTTAAAATCTGGCCCTTTGAACTCTGTTTTCAAATACGGAAATGTATAACCATAATCATACTTTAGGCCAATAATCCTGGTGTCTTTTCTCTTGCTGCTACTATTTGTGAGAAATCGATATGGTTTTATATGTTTTGCCTAACTGGGCACTTCCCAATTTCAAACAAGTGTTTAACAGAAGGCTTTTTTAAAATTCATGTCTGATTTTCTGATGATGGCAGTTAATCTATTAGAAGCAAAGACAAGTGAACTTATCGCATGAGTCTCATGCAGTCTTTTATTCTAAATCCCTTTTGTATTCAATAAGAGGCAAAGATCAAAAGCTTCTATTTGGTGTGGTGGGCAACATCAGAGCATTAAAAGTTAATTAGAGTTAATCTCAGACACTGATTCAAGGTGATAACTAGAATGGTGCTGCAATGTAATCAACATTTTCTCTGTAACACTGTGTTGTGATTGGTTGAGTGAGTGAATAAGCAGTGACTGGGATGTGATTAAACCTTAAGAATACTAAAGGATTTTCCATTAGCAGATCCTCATGCTATAGATTTTTCCCTTTGGAAGTAGGTGTGTTTACTTCCCTGGATCCATAAAATCTTTGCTTTTATAAAAAGGATTTCTAAGTGATGTCTAGTGACAGTCTTCCAATGTTAATAAAGAATATTCTTCCAAGAGCCTGATCTCACTATTAAAATACAACTATGCTATAAGTACAGGATTGCTGTTCCCTCTTTCTAGCTAATCTTATATGAACTATTTTACAATTACGAAGTGATAGGGCATGCAATAATTATTAAAGAAACAGAGCACCGAAAGGAGTGAAGGTGCAGTATTTTGTTTTTTTTTTTAACTATTTTAAGTAGGAAATCTTAGCTATGTGTAAAAGCTTCAGAGGGGCAGCCGAGTTAGGCTATGTCTAGACTGCAAGCCTCTTTCGAAAGAGAGCGTCTAGACTGCACGTTGAGCTTTCGAAAAAGCGGCTTGCTTTTTCGAAAGAAAGCATCCAGTGAGTCTGGATGCTCTCTTTCGAAGAAGCCCTATTTACATTCAAGAACACCTTCTTTCGAAAGAAGAACTTTCGAAAGAAGGCGTTCTTCCTCGTGAAATGAGGTTTACCGCCATCGAAAGAAAAGCCGCGTTCTTTCGATTTAATTTCGAAAGAACGCGGCTGCAGTCTAGACGGAGGTGAGTTTTTTTTGAGAAAAGGCTACTTTTTTCGAAAAACCCCCTGAGTCTGGACACAGCCTTAGTCTGTAACTGGAAAAACTTAAAAAACAATGAACTTAAAAGCACAAGGCTACTCAACCCACGGCCTGTTGGTCGCATGCAGCCCGTGGCCCATTTATTTGTGGCCCACGCAGCAGTTTGGGTTTTCATGGGGCTCAACATGCAGCCTGCAGGTGGGATCTTTTGAACATGGCCTCCACTGGGAATACAGGCCACAACAGCAAGTCAATATAATGGTCTTCTGTTGATATGCTTTTTAGTGGTTAAATTCCTGGACTGTCATTGCTCAGTAAAAGTTCTCTCATATGGGTGGAAATCAGGTGAAGACTGCATTTTATTAATATAAGCAGAACTGACTTAAATGAGGCCTGCGTGTTGTGTAGTCTTTCCTTAATCTTTGTATTCATGCCTGTCAGTGTGAAAGAAACTATTTGCATATATATTTGCATGTATATGCAACCACACTTAAGTTGTGGCCCTTGGAATGTGCTGTGAGTATCACTGTGGCCTCCAGGGCTTCCAAGGTTGAGTAGCCCTGGTCTAGCAGCACCTTAAAGACTAAAAAACATGTAACAAACAAACAAATACTTAAGAACAATTTGCACCTTCTCTAGAAGCTTTATGTAGCATAAACATTCTAATTGACTATTTTTTTCCCTTTTATCCCTTCTTTTTCTTTTTCTGCCACCCATCCCCTATTTATTTTAGAACTGGACCTTTAATAACTCAATTCATCTGAAGAAGTGGGTTGCGCCCACAAAAGCTCATGATACCTTCTACATGTTTTGTTAGTCTCTAAGGTGCTGCTAGACCTAGAAATTACTAGGGAAGGAAGAGCTTCCATATGGGGAGAGATTAACAACACTGGGGCTTTTCAGCTTGGAAAAGAGATGACTAAAGGATGGGGAAATATGTTAGAAGTCTAGAAAATCATGAATGGTGTGGAAAAACAGAATAAGGAAATGTCATTTACTCTTTCACTAGCATAACACAAGAAGTCCCCCAATTAAATTTATAGGAAGCAGATTTAAAACAAATTATTTCTACACAGCCAACCTGTGGAACTCTTTGCCAGGAGATGATGGAAAGGCCCAAACTGTAATAGGGTTCCAATAAGAACAAAATAATTTCAAGAGGGATAGGACCATCAATGGCTACCCATCAGAATGGGCAACAATTTTATCACTAGCTTCTGTTTGCCAGAAGCAACAGGCGATGGACAGCAGGGCATGCATCGTTTGATGATTGCCTCTTCTGTTCATGCCTTCTGAAGCACTTGACATGGCCAAAGTTGGAAGACAGAATACTGTGCTAGATGGACCATTGATCTGACCCAGTATGGCCATTCTGATCTTAGGTGGGGGGTCCTAGCACCCAATCCCACCTACCCCGAACAAGTTCTGTCCGGTTCCAAGAAACCAGCCACAGATCCCTGGTCAATTTACCCTCTGGATCTTACCCACAAATCACGCTGGGCCAATCCTTTAGAATCTATATCTAAAGGTTTATTATTACAAGAAAGAAAAGCCTGAGAGTAAGGTTATTAAAGTACAGTACGTTACATGCACCGAATCTCCCAGTTCTCGATGCAGGCTCTAGCAGAGATGTTACAGCTGCTGGTTTAAAAGTTCTTATTGCACATCCTACGATCAGGATGGGTTCACAGGTCTTCCGGGCTCTTCAATCCCTGCAGTGCTGCCTCTGGGATGAAGTGCTGAGCTGAGAACAAAATGGCATCGACCACATGGCCTCTTTATACTCCTTCCTGGCCTCTTCTTGTATGCAGCAAGTCACCTGGTCAGAGGCCAATCTCTATGTTTCCTGCTGGCTGCCCTCAGGTGACAAATCCCATTCTTTGGGTGTGTCCATAGCCTATTGAGAGTCATTGTTCCACAGGGCTTTGCTACTCAGCCTGTCCATAGCCATGCTTAACCACATTCACAGAAATATTCAGCTTCCACACAGATTACAGATTCCTACCTACACACACAGACATTATACACTCACATAAATAGTGTACATAAGATTAACAAACAATAAGCTCCCATTCAATACCCCACATGGCTCCCCCCATATCAATTTCTGGGGCCAACACCCCCACCTAGGGGTGCAGCAGCGATCTGGCTGCTTCCCTCCAATTTGGTAATGTGACACACACACACACACAGCCCTGACCGTCGGCTGACATGATCCCATCTACTTGTTTTGTTAGCTATGTTTAGGAGTCCAAGCAGCGAGAAGGATCCTACAGTTAGCAAGTATTGATTGACATAAAATTATCATGGCTTCATTCAAAGAATTTGAGGAGTATATGGATCATTTTCTCGCACTTGTGTATAAACATCAGACATGAACTAAAATACTATCAAGTAGCTGAACAACTTAGCTCTTCTTCAGAAAGAATCTGCAGAGAACTTCAGCCAGATTGGATTAAGAGGGAAGCTATATGCAAGGCAAGTTCAACTAAATAAGATGAATAGACAGCTCTCAATCAAGAGCTCTGTAGCAGATTAGTTTCCAGGCCTGTGAGAATTCCTTGATGATAAAGGATTTAAGAAACCACATAAAAAAATGGCACCACCTGTGAAAGTGGAAATCCAGATTGGCAAAGAAGATAAAATTGGCTTTCAAATGTCATTGCCTGGAATCTGCAAGGCAGACACAGGAGTGGAACAATGTGTGGACAGGATGCTGTACTTTCCAGAGAAACAGCTGCAAAGATGGTAATAAACTGAAATGAAAAAAGAATTCTCAAAGGAGATTGTGGGGCAGGTGGAGGGGAGAATAACATCTGCACCACTGACCCACATTGAAGGGTCTCCATGAGGATGCTGACTTGCTTTAAACATGGTAATGCAGAGCACCAGGCTGTGGGTTGTACAATTCTGCTCAGAGGCATGGTGAAAGCACAGCTGTCTGACACAGGATTAACGAGAAGGAAAGACTCCATCCCAAGTAATGCTAAGCAGGAATAAGGATGGTTCACTTATGAATCAGCCAAGTGCAATGGTAAAGCCAAGCCTTTAGCTCGGGGTGGCCAACCCATTGGAGATGAAGAGCCAAAATAGCAGTGGACAGCGTCTGAAGAGCCACATACTGGGGAGAGGGGGCAGGGAGTTGTTGAGCAAAAAAAAAAAAATTCCCTCACCGGGGGCCATCTCAGGGGACATACCGTCACAAAAAAGGGAAGGGGTGAGAGGGGCAAGCTCTGGGAGGGAATTTGGGTGCAGGAGGAAGTAGAGAAGAGAATACTGGTTTAGAGAGGGGGCTCCATGCTGGAGAGGGTTGGGATCAGGGGGAGGATTGGGGGTGCTGAGCAAGCTGGAGGCTTGTGGCTTTGAGGGTGCAGGAGTTTGGGCTGGGGTGCATGAAGGGCTCAGGGCAGGGAGGCTGGGAGTATGATGGGCTCAGGACACAGATTTGCAGTGTATGGATGGTGCAGGAGTATTGTGGCAGAAGACTGGTGATGTGGGGGTGCAGGAGTTTGGGCATGTGAGAGGCTCAGGACAGGGGGTTCCAGTGTATGACAGTCTCAGGTTTGGGGTCTGGGGAGGGTGCAGAAGTGTTATGATGCTGCAGCCATATGGAGACTTGGCCCCAATTGGGGGCTTGTTGGCCAGGCTTTGTTTTTAAATAAAGTATTATGTCAAACACAGCATGTTTCAGCATTGTCTTTATTTATGAGAGGGGCAGGGAATCTGTTTTGAGTCAGGGGTCACTGACCCACCGAAAAGTCAGTTGGGGCCACACAAGCAAGATGCAAAAAACATCCCAAGCCTCACTAATGTGGCCCCAACTATGCTGGTGGGGGCAGAGGATAGAGTGCTGGGGCAAGGTGCTGGGGCAAGTAGCAGGGTGTTGGGGCAGGTGGCAGGGGACAGGGTGCTGGTGGGGTGGAGGTTGGCCAGGGGGAGGGGACGGGGACAGCTCGGCCGGTGCCTGGGGATCCCAGGTCTAAGGAAGTGCACTGGTTGCTCTTCCCCTCCCCTTTCTTCCCTTCCCCTCCCATGAACAGCTAGCACACTTCCTGAAACACCGGGTCTGTCACTGGGCTGGGGACTTCCTCCCCCCTGCTGCCTGCCTGTACAGGGTGTGTGTGTAGGAGTCCCGGGACTGCATGCCAGCTCCAACTTCTTAGGAAGCACATGCTCTCTCTCAGCTCCTCACAACAGCTGCATGCTTCCTGAGAAGTTGGAGCTGGTATGCAGTACCAGGATTCCTACTCTCCCCCCACAACCCAATCCCCATCCTCTCCCCCAGAGCCATCCCCCCACACTCTAACCCAAGCCCACTCTTCCCCCAATCTAATGCCCAGATCCTGGAGCTGGAGCCACCGCTGTCACTACCACCACTAACCTCTCCCTGCAGACACGGGGCACGTGTGCTGAGTGGCCTTTAGCACATGCTGGATGGAACACTGAGCGTGAGGGGCAAGGGAAAGGGAGACGGGAGCATGATCATGAGCAGAGCAGCAGCTGCAAGCACGCACTGCAATGCAGCTCAGAGTGGCCCAGCCGTGAGCAACCTTGTGCAGAGTGGCCAGCCTGACGATAATTTTTTAATAAAAAAAATGTAATCATGAGCCACAATTTTTTCATCAAAGAGCCACATACAGCTTGCAAGCCATGGGTTGGCCACCGCAGCTTTAGCTACTCGCGACTAATCCATAGCAGATTTTTAATGCCTACTCAAAATGCATTTCCCTTCAACTCTTGCCCCTTCTCTCTTTTCTGCTCCATATATTGCTAACTTCTTTCAAGTAAAGATTGTCAGAGGTCAGCAGAAGATCTCCGCCCAATTCTTCATTCCTTCACCCTGCTCCTTGATTTGTCCTTTACTCATATATCCACCACTGAGATCACTATCCTTTTGCCTGCTTCAAACCCTTTGCTTTGACAACTTTACCTCATCTTATTCATTGCCTGCCCTCCCTTGCTCCCTCCTTCTCTTAGCACATAATCTTTCTGACCAACCAGAATGTCCTCAAGAATGTCCTGCTCTTTCCTTGAACTAAGCATGGCAAAATGGAACTTTCAATCTTTCCCTGTGCGGCTTCACAGAAACATAGGGCTGAATGGGACCTAGGTCATTTAGTCCATTCCCTGGGCTGATACAGGACCAAGTAAACCTAGACCATCCCTGGCAGGAGTTTGTCCAACCTGTTCTTAAAACCTCCAATGATGGGGACTCCACAAATTCCTTCAGAATACTATTCCTGTACTTACCTTTCATTTTAGGTAGAAAGGTATTCCTAATAGCTAACCTACATCTCTCTTGCTCCCGCTCATTACTTCTTGTCCTCCCTTTAGTGATCATGGAGAACAATAGACCACTATCCTCATTATAACATTTCTTAACATATTGAAGGTTTATTCTCTGTCTCCTTTTTTCAAAACTAAACCTGCTGTTTTTTTAAAAACTTTTCCTCACTGGCTTCATAAACATTTTATCATTTATCATATCCCTCCCTGTCACACAATCTCACAAGTTAGATTATTCTGGGCAACTCACTTTCATATGCTCTTGACTGTCATCTTTAGAGCAGGAATCCAGTGCAATTCCAGGCTGATTTAAGGGTTACATTTCAGATTGAGTCCTTCATTGATCAATGTTCCTTTCCTATCGTCTGACCCCACTATTCTACGATCAGTTCTTCCATGAACTTAGTGATATGCTGGGAAGTATAATAAAAAGATACAAATCTAGGTCTTAAATTTGCTCTTTCTATCCCGCATGTGTCCCCTGAGAAAATCTGAGACATCAGTGAAAGAATCATAATTTTTTCTTTATACAATTGATTATTTAATAGTGATTAAATTCTAGTAGCCAAATACTGTCCATGCCTCAATAATCTATAGTGGTGTCCCCCAAGAGTCAGTCCTTGGGCCAGTCCTGTTCAACTTACTCATAAATGATCTGGAGAAAGGGGTAAGCAGTAAGGTGGTAAAGTTTGCGGATGATGCCAAACTGTTTAGGATAGTCAAGACAAAAGCAGACTGTGAGGGACTCCAAAAAGATCTCACCAAACTGAGTGATTGGGCAACAAAATGGCAAATGAAATTTAATGTGGATAAGTACAAAGTAATGCACATCGGGAAAAATAACCCCAACTATACGTACAGTATGATGGGGGCTAATTTGGCTACGACAAATCAGGAAAGAGATCTTGGAGTTATAGTGGATAGTTCTCTGAAAACTTCCACACAGTGTGCAGCGACGGTCAAAAAGGCAAATAGGATGCTAGGAATTATCAAGAAAGGGATAGAAAATAAGACACAGAATATCTTACTTCCCCTGTATAAAACTATGGTACACCCACAGCTTGAATACCGTGTACAGATGTGGTCTCCTCACCTCAAAAAAGATATTTTGGCCTTGGAAAGGGTTCAGAAAAGGGCAACTAAAATGATTAGGGGTTTGGAATGGGTCCCATATGAAGAGAGGTTAAAACAACTGGGAATTTTCAGTTTAGAAAAGAGGAGACTGAGGGGGGATATGATAGAGGTATATAAAATCATGAGTGGTGTGGAGAGGGCGAATAAAGAAAAGTTATTTATTAGTTCCCATAATAGAAGAACTAGAGGACACCAAATGAAGTTAATGGGTAGCAGGTTTAAAACTAATAAAAGAAAGTTCTTCTTCACACAGCATGTAGTCAACCTGTGGAACTCCTTGCCAGAGGAGGCTGTGAAGGCTAGGACTATAACAGAGTTTAAAGAGAAGCTAGATAATTTCCTGGAGGTTAGGCCCATAAAAGGCTATTAGCCAGGGGATAGAAATGGTGTTCCTGGCCTCTGTTTGTCAGAGGCGAGAGAAGGATGGCAGGAGACAAATTGCTAGATCATGGTCTTCGGTCCACCCTCTCTGGGGCACTTGGTGCTGGCCACTGTCAGCAGACAGGCTACTGGACTAGATGGACCTTTGGTCTGACCCAGTACGGCCGTTCTTATGTTCTCTCCTCGTCTCCAGGCTCTTGGTGCATTTATTACTGCTTCTATAAAACATCTAAAATCCACACTTTCCTCCCCATCTCTACAGCAAAAACCTGGCTCAGGCCAGGGAGCATTCCTTCTAGACTAATGTATCCTTTTCTTGTTCCTTCCCAATATTCAGCTGCAAAAGCAACCATTCTGTCCCACTTATGACCACTACATCTTTCCTTCTCTCTCCCTCTCCACTCCACCTCTTTCTATAGAAGAGTCAAATTGTCCTCATTTAAGGCTCTGTATCATTCTGCCTTGCCTATGACTTCTTTCCTCTTCTGTCACTCTCGACCTCACACCCAGTGCTTTTCTCATTCTCTTTACCTTGGATATGTCTACACAGCAACATTATTTCAGAATAATAATACACTTCTACACTACAAGCCTTTATTTTGAAATAATGTTTAGGACTTCTTACTCCAACTCACGATAACCCTCATTTCATGAGGAATAAGGAAAGTCAAAGGAAGAGTGTTTTTCCTTTGACTTCCTGCTGTGTAGACAGTGCCAAAAGCTGAAGTAAGCTATTTCGACTTCAGCTACGCAATTGATGTAGCTGAAGTTTCGTAGCTTACTTCGACTTTTGCCCTGCTGTGTAGACGTACCCCTTGTTCCTTCAATCTCTTTCTTACAATCTCTTCTGTGTCCTCTGAGGGTCTGGTCTAATTTCTATCAAAGTCCCATTGGAGACTTTCCCCTAATTTCACTCTTCCAGTGGGCCAAGAGTCTTTCCATCTTAT